CCAACTCCCGCTTGAGTTTAGTGTCTTCTCTCAAGTGCTTAAAATTCTACATTTGTTCATACTCTTCCTAGTAGATGGCGCAGGAGTTCACTCTTCTCCTTATTAGTTCATGTACTTGCTAGTAGATGGCGAGGGAGTTCACTTCTCTCTTTATTAGTTCATGCCCTTGTCAGTAGATGGCGGGGCAGTTCACTTTTCTCTTCACTAGTTCATGCCCTGGCAGTTCACTTCTCTTTCACTAGTTTATGCCCTTACTATCAGATGGCGCGGCAGTTCACTTTTCTCTTCACTAGTTCATGCCCCTACTAGTAGATGGCGCGACAATTCACTTTTCTTCTTATTAGTTAATTCCCTCGATAATAGATGGCGAGGCAATTTACTTATTATTACATTAGTTCATTCCGTTGCTAATAGATAGAGGTAGTTCACTTTCTAATAATATTATCAGCGATTTTGCAGTACATTTGTGGTCAAATTGTGAACTACCTCTGGAACCAAAGTAACATAGCTGTATTACATTTCCAGCTATATGTACAAAGAGACGCCATTTAAAATATTCTTCTTGGTATCCAGACACAATGTATCGGGTACACGTATCTGTAGGAAGTTATGCAGTTTCCTACTAGTTGTTTGTTCTACTGTTTTTGCACCCTAGCAGCCAAATCATTCATTCTGATTTAATATCCCGTCTTATATTATACAGAGACTGAGAATAACAACGTTACCTTCTCTTCTGGCCTCAATCTTGGAATGTGCTGAGTCTTGCAAAGGAGGATATTTATCATTGATATCATAGTTTTAACTTATTGATAAATTATATTGTACATAATAATACATTACAATATGCATTGGAAATAGATTCAAAACACACAAACATATTGGAACAAATTATTTTTATAATCCCTTATTTTGATACAATCTTCCATCCTCAGTTCATCTCCTTATGAATTATTCATTTTAATGTACTTTTGGGTACATAATCCACATTCTACACAATATTCTTAGAGAGAGTTGTATTTAGTGGCAAGTCACAAATGGTGGTGAAGAAATCTTAAACTGTACCTAACTTGTGTAAATATAAAATGGCATGAGAATGAACCCATTAGCCCATCTTGTTTAGATCCAACTAAGCTACGGTGATGTGTGACTTCAGACACTGTTGTCTGTTTCAAAATCCAAAATATATCTTATAAACATTGTTCAGTAATTACTACCACCGCACAGCTTACCTTATGTTGCGTTTCCCTACCTAATCGTTTCATATAATTTCAGACAGCAAGAATTCCTGGTCTCCATCTACAGATCTTCAAGGCATGAGTGGGAGTGTGATAAAGATCCATGTATTCTGAGGCTTTGCCATTACATGGGATTGAGTGATTGGCTTAAAACTCTCGGCTCCTTTTACCTTGGGTAATGCAACCACACTAGCCCTTGGATTGTATGTCAGTGGTGACCAGACATTGTAGTGAAATGCACAGTGCCTGCAGCAAGGACTGAATGCTAACAAACACAATCAAATTTTAATTTATTTTCTCTGTTGGAGTGAATAAGCAGATAAAATTATTCAGTGTCTTAGTGGTCAGAACCCCTATTTTGTATTCGAGAGGTCACACATCAAAATCTTGGCTCACAGACCAGCTGCCCTCACCAAGGTTCTTCATGAGTTTTCTCAGTCCCTCCAGGAATCTGCCAGGATAGTGCATTAAATTAGGCCATGACCACTTCCATACATCTTCTTTCAAATTCATTCTATCATTCGATGAAATGGAGAATGTAACTTCTCCCGCCACTTTGTCTACTTTCTTCTATCATCAGGGTATTACACTTCATTATTTTCAAACATTTAGTTTTGCGATTCTTACTCTATTTGGGTGCCAAACTTAGTTTCCATCTGAGGGGCAGAACGCAGACTGAGTGTGTTTGAGAACAGGAAGGATGCTGAGGAGAGAACATTTGGACCTGAGAGAGATGAAGTTAAAGGAGGCTGGGAAAAACTGGATAATGAGAAATTCCAAAGTTTTGGTTGGATACCGTGAAAGAAAGCGTCCATTTAGAAGACAGAGGCGCATATGTTCCATGTATGAAACCTTCATGACACATTTCAAACAGACGCACCAAACTTGCAATAATCTACGTGCGTCACACCTGTGCAAATTGAGAACCTGCTGTGTTAACACAAACAGGCTGTATTAGCTGAAGTATTGCATCAAACCACCTGTACAAGGGTGTAGTATAGTCTTGACAAATCCAAAAGGGCCAATAATATGAACACTCGCTAAAGAAACGGCAATTGAAAATAATGGGGGCAATATTATCTGACATTAACCAATTGAAGCCAAAGCTAATCTAAGCAATATTCAAGTTTTCAGTCCATACTGCAAAAGAAAATATGTCCATGACAATGAAGGAAATATTCACTGCTTACAGTGAGAATAATATGAAATCCATAAATACACTGCAAGGCGAAATACAGAGTTAGTGACTGGTAAAGAAGGCGGGCTTTAAAGCATCAAGTCAAGTGAAAGAGATGGGTGGAGTACGACACAACCAGTTGAGAGTCAAACAAGTAGCTTCGAAGATGATATTAAAATATAGGCAGTGTTTTAGGGTGTGGACTAGAGCAGTGGTATTCAACCATTTTTGTTCGCGTACCCCCAGATATAATTTCTCTTCAACTTTGTACCCCCAAAGTTGTTGGTGTATAATTCAAGTTATACGTAGTATATAATCTACATCTAAAATAAATTAAATAAATTACATTACTGATTATTCAGTGTTTATCATAAAATAATATATTTTTTAAAAAATTTCACGTACCCCCTAAGATGTCTTCGCGTACCCCAGGTTAAATACCACTGCGCTAGAGGACTGTATTCATGCTATTCACCATAAAAACAGGGATCATCAGATTTTTTGACACATGGGTCAGAAAGCTGAACAGATATAAACAGTGTGATTACAATGCATACAATCACATTACCATCCCAGACATGAATTAAATACGCTTAGATTAATTACAAACAGTCGTAACTAATGTGTACCATTGATCATTAACTCGGCATTTCAATGCATTCCATTTACTTTCCTGGGCGAACAATGTCTGCACGTCTCATTGTCCTTGGCAGTTAATCGTCTAACGACTGGATGTATGGGTTGCTATATAACGACCCACGCAAACTGTTGGCACGTAGTGAGTGAGCAACGCACACATTAAGATGAGGATGTCCCCACTCTACTCTCTGCTGCTGGCGCTGTCTGCAGTGAGCGCCCAGAAGGACCCCAACGTCGCCGAGAATACAAGTGCAATCGTTCATCTGTTCGAATGGAAGTTCGATGACGTAGCGGCAGAATGCGAGCGGTTCCTATCCCCGCAGGGCTACGCCGGGGTGCAGGTATTGCCAACCTTGGTTCATATATCACCAATCATCACATTACATTTCTATCGGTAGGATTTGAAATTTTCGCGGCGCTGAGTCCGAAGATGACTTGTCTTCTGGGTCGTAGCGCCCTGAGTGTCGTCCGGTTTCTGACACCACCAGACAATATTCTAAATGTCTCGCAATTGTTGATGCAGACTTTCGACTCGAAACCGCGCCGCCTTCGAATCCGGAAGAATACAGGCTACGATGATAGTTTTACTCAGTCCCTCAAAACAAATGCAGGTTTGTTATATAGAATTGCCGATTCCTTTCCCACCAAACGTTTTTTGTCGTTCAAGAGCTGGAGCGTAAGGAGACGTACGTAGAAAGCGTCACAAGGCCATCTGATTATTTATCACCGTTGTTTTGTTATTATTATGCAGTGGCTTGGACGATTACTTGGAAGTTTAATCTGGGCAATGCTTTCAGCTTTCACCAGTCAATGAGGTGATAAAACCAAATGTCAATGATCGCTCATGGTGGGAGAGGTACCAGCCCATCTCCTACAATATCATCAGTCGTTCTGGAAACGAGGATGCCTTCAAGAGCATGGTTCATAGATGTAACAACGTCAATGTCAGGTAACACGCTGACAATTCCTGGTAAAGTGAAGATGCCAGGCGGCATACTCATAAAGTCTGTTGCCGCAGAAACTTCAGATCAATGGTCATTCGGTTAATTAATTGGTTTACTCAATAGTTGTTCCTAACCAGACATATCAGTCAATTAATTACACAGTTAAAAGACCAAATAATTTCCTGTACAGTTCTCATGGTCAACCAGTCTGTAAATCACTTATCTGATTAGTTCCTTTGTTAGTCTGGTAGTATATTCACTGATTCATTAGTCGCTATCAGTTAATCCTGACTCAAGCATGCCTGCTTCTTAGGATCTATGTGGATGTAGTCCTGAATCACATGACCTCTAATTGGGGTGATGCTCTAGGGACAGGTAATAGCAGGGCCTTCACAGATGACTCTGTGTACCCAGCTGTCCCTTATGGGCCCGCTGACTTCCATCAACCAACCTGCATCATCGCCAGCAGTGATTACGGAAACAACGCCACTGCCGTGAGTAAAATGCTGCCACCGCATCTGTGCCTAACACTGTGACGGACACTGGTAGTGCGAACAGTGCAACGTAAATACCCCCCACAAAATGCCACCGATGTACAAACAGTCCAATCTCCCACACGCCAGTTTAGGAATCTACAAGTCCTGAATTTATATGGAGTTAAAGTTCCACTCATTCGTGCCCTCACAACTGTATGGAAGTAACCCATTACGAAAGAACCTCCAGATGTATTGGCTAGGAAGCTGGATGGCGGACAGAACTAGTTTGAAACTCAATGGGGAGAAAAGAAGGAAGTATATAATTTCACTGACCATTTTTTAAATATCTGGATCTTTATAACACAGTGATTTTTATGGCATTTCTTGAAAGGTGTGTCATAAAAAATGCTATCTGTAGCAGCAGTTCATCTGACCAGCCTCACATAAATATATAAAATAAAATAAAAATAACGGAATTTTTACATAAAATGGGCTGATTAATATTATACATATCCAGTTTTTGCATTAACATAGGAAAACAAAACTTCCTTAAACTTCAGAAATTTTTACATAAAATGGGTTGATTAATATTATACATATCCAGTTCTTGCATTAGCACAGGAAAACAAAACTTCCTTAAACTTCAGTTTGGGAAGCGCTGGTCTTTCTGAATGACTGAAGTTCATTGACATTGCAGGTCAGAGACTGTGAGCTGAGTGGGTTACATGACCTCAATCAGACCTCGCCCTACGTCAGAGAGCAGATCATAAGTTTCTTGAACAAACTTGTGGATGCAGGAGTGGCAGGCTTCAGGTTTGTATCTACGTGGCTAACTATCAGCTTCTCACAAAAGACTCCCTACCATAAAATTAGTTCACATTCAAACAGGAAATAATCTCTTAACTTCGTTCAGAGTGGATGCTGCCAAGCACATGTGGCCAGAGGACCTACAGTACATCTACAGCCAGATCAAGGACCTCAGCACCCTCCATGGGTTTGCACCCCAAACAAGGCCGTTCATCTACCAAGAAGTCATCGACTACGGTAAAAGAAAATGAAACTTTGCATGAAACAGAAAAAAATATAAATCCCCCTCTGAAAAAGTCATACGTTTTACAATTTACTTTCAGTTACTTCGCTAAAAGAACAAATGTAGGTCGTGGGGGAGCAGAGTATTAAGATATTAAATGGCTCGAGATATGGTCGTGCACGTGCACGCCAAAATATGAGGAGCCGAATGAAACTGTTTCACAACAAAAGTCATGTAGATGATAAGTGATATTAATATAGAAAAAGAAAACACACTATCACGATAATTGTTATAGGGTTAGAAATTCAAGTTAACAGCAGAGCTCCTGTTTGGTCGCTTTTAAATATTCCGAAGCCTGCTCTTGCAAATTGTTATAGGGTTAGAAATTCAAGTCAACAGCAGAGCTCATGTTTGGTCGCTTTTAAATATTCCGAAGCCTGCTCTTGCAACTGTTGCAGGAAGCGAGGCTGTTAAGAGCGGAGAATACTCTGATCTTGGCAGGGTGACCGAGTTCAACTACGGCACTTACTTGGGGAAGGGATTTTCTGGAGATTACCCCATCAGTCATTTCCACAACTTTGGTAAGTCATAGGGTTTTATTCCAACACCAAGAAATCCCCTGCTGTAATGGAACCAGAAGGTTCATTACTGTGTTCACAAAAGCCCACCAATGGTTGTAATCTTTAGCCAGTTGAATCAGTTCCATGTCCTCATATCCTTTTTCTACAAGTTTCATTTTAATATTAATATTATCCTCTCATTTAGGCCTAGGTCTCCCAACCTATGTGTGCTGCATGGCAAACCCATCTCATCAATCTTTTAGGCCTGTATCTCACATCATCCATTTCTCGTCTTGAATGCCATCAAGTACATCAAAATAGGTCACAACAGTTTTTGCTTCAATCACTCAATCCTGATATTTCATATCGATCATCCTGCCCTTAATTCAAACCTACGTCATTAAACAACAGAACCTGTGGCGTGTGTGCAGGCAACCTGCCACACAGCTTTTCTGATTTTTTTAAAATTTTATTTTCCCATTCTGCTGATCAGGATCAGACTGGGGGATGCTGGATGATGGTGATGCTCTTGTGTTTGTGGATAACCATGACAACCAACGTGGTTCAGGTGGAGGAGGAGCCAACATCCTCACCTACAAGCAGTCCAAACTCTACAAGGTATGCATACCTAACAGGAGTTTATCTGAACATTTGATAGTTAATCGTTATCATCATCATCATCATCATTGGCGCTACAACCCAGGGTGGGTCTTAGCCTGTTCGAGCTTTCATAACAAATGACTTTTACAGGGTGGGTGTGTTAGCCCCACGCCCAACCCCCCAAACCTCCATATTTATATCTCCCGGAGGTAGGGTGGTCCAGCTATACCCCCAGGCACTGGGTAACCATTTTAGTCGCCTCTTACGACACACATGGGCTGCAGTGGGGCTATTCTTATTCTCTGACCACAACACGGAGAGACAGTTGCTCAGCTGGTCAAGCAATTCCTCAAATGCTCGTGTTCACAGGTCATATTCTGAGCCAGTGAAATACATATAATTTCTTCCAGAAGTTTCTAATGAGATCAGACTTGAGATTTTCATAGTGGTGAATATGTCATTGGTGGTCTTCTGGGTTGCAACACCATGTGGTATAGGCGGTTAGCAACGTTCCTAAGAAACTTGCTGCCTTGTATCATTAAGCGAAAATGTTTAGTAACCACCTGCAAGACCACATGGGGCAGGCAACCCATGAGCCCATGGTCAACAAGAATCAGATGGAAGGCTAATATTAAAAATATATCTTATGTTGTTAAAAATTTGAACTGAAGTATTCCATAATCATATTCAGTTATGGGCACCATTGCTAGAGCTGTTGAACGTTTGGGTTCTATTACCAGAGAGTTAATTACACAAAACAAAATGGCATGCTCTGTACTCTGTAATAAGAAAGATGGTAACCCTGTACATTACAAACCCGTAAACTGCCCTGAGCCATTATAAAATTAAGTACAAACATCCCCATTACAAAACATGAAAAACTGGGATTACACTGGAATTCAAGCATTTAGCCCCCTTCATATTTCCCTATTAAACACCGCAACTGTAACTCATTCAAAACTGGGAAACACAAAATTATAATGAACTCTGATACACAAAGATGTCTCCGTGTCTCTGCATAAAAAATAAAAAAGTTCAAAATGATGCAATTTCTCTTCCAGATGGCAGTGTCATTCATGTTATCATGGCCTTATGGGTACCCACGTGTAATGTCCAGCTACTATTTTGATACCCATGACCAAGGGCCTCCACAAGACTCAGACCAGAACATTCTTTCTCCTACAATAAGTGCAGATGGAACATGTGGGAACGGCTGGGTGTGTGAGCATCGGTGGAGACAGATCTACAACATGGTGGCCTTCAGAAACGTGGTCAAAGGTTAAGGGACTTCATACTCATAACAGGTCGACATTAAAACAATCCAACTTCAGCGAGAAGAACCAAATAAAACGTTTGGCAGCGATTCAAGATATTCAGTTATAATTTGGTGACCAACTGAGGTTACTGTTGAAAACTTAATATTTTCCACACGGTCACCAAACTGACATTTTACGTTCTGAAGGGCACGTGCATATTTTCTGAAGACTTTACTGCACACCAAATGCCAGAACGCTACATAAGAGGCATTACTGTTGGTCTCAGTGCAACATAGTTCATGACTGTCAGTATTACTGATGGCAGGAATCTCTTACACAGCGCTTAGACGAAGTTTCGTGGAAACCAATTCATTAGTTCAAAACTTACTCGGAGCACAGGCACACAAAATGATACCATAAACCCATCTATAAAAAATACACCTATAGAGAAAGTACGCTGCCTTATAAGGAATGCGTATGTATAAGTCACAGAAAAATTAAATTACACTGAAGTACTGTGTCTATGCTAGAGCTGAAGTAATCACATCACAACTGCAAACTTACTAACTGAATTTTCATTAAAAATCCTTGCATCAGAATACACGGATGTTAACCACTGAACACGGTCTAATGTTTCAGGAACACCAGTGACAAACTGGTGGGACAATGGAAGCCAACAGATTGCCTACAGCAGGGGAAACCTCGGCTTTGTCGCTTTCAACGACCAGTACAACACTGATCTCAAGCAGACAATACAGGTGGGATTCTAGCTTTCTTTGCAGAGAAGATAAGAATTTATTTGAAGGAAAACATGCACTGTAAATAAAGTTAAGGAATAAAGGGCAAGCCTAGTTGAAGTAACTGACATACTAAATAGACAGTTACGGATTAAACCGTGCACGGCAGTCAAAATGCGGATTGTGGTGTCCTGGGTTAGGTTCCTCTGAGAAGCTGGTAACAATTAATGAAATGTAACAGAATGAAGTGTGTGAATTATGAAGTAATGGCACGAAATTGATTAAACTAGATGAACTGTATGGTAATTCACATATTTGCACAATGACACAACAAGATATCCACCTCGCTGCTATGTATTGCAGACAAGTCTACCTGCTGGGACTTATTGTGACATAATCTCTGGAGAGAAGCAGGGCAGTTCCTGCACTGGCAAGAGTGTTACAGTCGACACAGATGGGAAGGCATACGTCGAGATCCTATATTCAGAAGAAGATGGAGTCCTGGCCATCACAGTGGCGGTATGTGAACCCAGAACCCCTTCCTCTCACAGGCAACAACTCATATAAACGCTGTATCAAAACATCTATTTTATCTGTTTGATTCGTTCTCAAGTTATTTAATGAGGTCGTCTGAACTCCAAATGTCATGTGGCATCAAATGAAATAGTGAGCAAAGCCCATGCCAAGAATTAAACCCAGGTCAAATAATCTTTATCCAGTCATTTACTGACTGCCTCACTTCTGCTCACAAGCAAATATCACAGTTCTGAGACTGGCGAGTATTACGTTTCCTAGCAACAGCTGTCAGCAGAACAAAAGAAAGTTGAAATGTAAATTTTCTGTTTCAGTCAAAGTTGTGAAACCTGAAACTGCTGTCCAGTCTACAGAAAGTTTCCAGAAGAGGTTCTGAAACTGTTAAAACTACAGCAAAACAATTCTGTACAGATAAGCCTGAAGTTAGTGCAGCAGCACCAATTTATTGCACTAGCGGCAATACAAACACCTTTCGTCATAAAACAGAAGCGTATTCACTTATTCCGGGGTTCATATATTTTCTCTCTCCCCACAAACATTTCTCTATGGACATAAAAATACATGAATACCTTTTCTGAAAATATAAGTCCTCTCGAGAATTTTTGCAACACACGCCCCTTCCTTGAACGGACACACGGCACAAAGCACAAAGTGTTTCTCAAATTATTTCCCTACTGATATCTTGAGCACTCTTTAGAAAATGACATTCGTCACGCGCAAAACCCTGAAGCATAACGCCCATAAATTTTTTTAATCTCTGAATCTGCCTTAAAATAAAAAGCCTCAATTACACATTTTTTGGTAAATTCTTTAAGATTTCATGTGTGCCCAAGGTATTCACCAACCACAATTCTGGAACTGTGGGTTCATCTGAGTTCTTCTCAATATTAATTTTAATATCAGCTTTCCAAAACATAGCACATCTTTACTTCTGTAAGCGTTTATCGCTTCTCTATTTGTGTCACATGTGTGGCTCGCTTCATGTGCTTTCATTCAATTCTTTGTTCTTTGTAACGCAGTCACAGACCAAATCTGGATAACAATAAAGATAAATATGATGATAAATAATACGCTTAGGATGTGACAAGGTATGTTTATAAATGCCATTTACATTTACTCCTTTTTTAATTTGGTTTCTTGCCCTCACTCTTTTTCCAACCGTAAGTAACCTCCTAATGGCTAGATCGACAGCGTGAACGCATATTACCAGGCCAATGATGAGAATGGGTGGAAAACAACGACTGTGACCTGTTTCAGGCACTATCCTACGCACAAGTTTGGAGCCTCACAGAGCCACATTTAAGAAACAATACTTCTGAAGCCAAAGCTCGTCCAAATATTTAACAATTCATTCCGTACCGCAAAGAAAACACAAACCTTCTCCATTACAAAGATAAATCAGTTAAAGCCGTTTAAGAAAATGGTCGCTGTTTGCATTGAGAATCACACAAAACCCATAAATACAAGACGAAGAGTTTTTATTGATTATCGAGGCAGGTGTGACATATATATATATATATATATACCACTGGATTGTAAATGCTAAACGTGACAATGACAGTTGTTAACGAAAAATGCAACTGAGACCATTTTAAAATCTCCAAGAAATGTACAAATTAAAGGTTAAAAAAGAACTAGAATCTTTATACACTGTCAGTTCTTGAGAAACAGGCTGTAGTCTACAATTGAAAGTCACGATGTGATGCGCCTCAGAACATTGGAAGTGCTGTCGGAGACGCTGGAAATTAAAATGACACACAGCATGTACCATCGTTTCGATACATCGAAAAGAACTGACATAGTGCTGTAAATGGCGTTAACTAAAGAATGAAACTAAAGTACATTTTCTCCTAGGCCGGCCAAGCATCGGGTCTGAGAGCCAACATCTCACAGATCAATTGGCACAAACGAATTTCATCAGGAAGAATTAATTAATAACTGGTATGATAATTATGATTATGACAACAAAGTACTGTACATCCTCTTCGTCATCATGTCATAATTTTTAGCCTAATTTCCGTCTTGGTTGCTCGGTCACTAAAGTGACCGTCTACAAATCAGATGTCCAGGATTCGAATCCCAGCAGGGGCAAGGGTATATTTTCTACCAGGACTGTGTCCGCACCAGTTCTGGAGGCCTCCCAGCCTCACAACACTACAAACAAGAGGGCCTTTCCCTAATAGTAACAATGAATGGTGCGTGTATCTAATTACACACCTCCAACTAGTTCCGAGGTTATGAATGCGTGGATATTTAACTCCACTCCCTCAATACGCCATCATCGAGAGGCGCTTCGAAACAGAGGACTTAACGCTCAGGTCTTCAAATCAGAAAGTACGGACTTCAAGAGTCAAGTTATCGGTTTCATTAACTGTAGTTTCTGGTGGATTCCCAAGATCTGTTCAGGCAAATGTGGCTTCAAATAGGCCACGACCACTCCCTAATGCTCTACAACTTGGCAATGAAGAGCATCTTCACGTCTCATTTGGCACAAAATAACCTCTTTCAGACAACTAAAGTGCCTCAGTCAGGAAATTCCACAAGGCTTCGGCTCTGATCCCAGTCTTTAGCCAGATAAATCCAATCCACACCCTACTGAACTTAAATACGAACGAGAGATCGGTATAACAGTTACCTGCACTGCGGGCCCATGGACAATTCTGAAGACAGGACTTGACCTTGCACTTAAATCCAGCGGCCACGTAGGTACAATCGGAGCAACAGCGGGGCTGGTCCATGATCACCCAGTTCGCTTCGTACGACTGCTCCTCTGAAACACGTGCACGGACGTAACAATGAACACATATTCCATCCTCACCTTCCTTCGGCCCAAATATCCTCCTCATACGTTTTACATTACAGTGTTATCAAGCTCGATACAGCATAACTGAATCAGAATTCTTTTTACGACAGCATTATTCATGACAACTCCAGTATTAATGGCTTCACGCAACATTTTGCATGCTACGAACGAGATATGTCGTATTAAAACCTCTTCGGTGTGTTATCTGTGAAGAGAAACCTGTCCTGCCACCTCTTGACATTTTAACACTACGAAACAATGGAGAATCCGCAAGCTGAAATCATCCTCGCGGTAGACCAAGTGACAAGAACTCACCTTTCTGAAATGTAACGTTGATCGGCGCAGAATCTGAACTTGTCTCGGCGCCGCCCAGCAAACCACCGGAGGTAACAACAATGTAGAGCAAGGCTGCCAACATTCCTGAACAGACAGACATTCTACTTCGCGCTGGACTGAGGCTTTTGTGGCCTTGGGGCTCTCACTTGCTTCTGTTGCGAAACGAACTGCAGTAGCGGCTCCTGGAGGACAACAATGGCAGCAACTGTTTAAAATTTGCAAGTGCTACACTCTGTTGTCAGAAACAATTAACGAACTGACAAAAGCAACAGTTCTCAACCCGCGGCCAGCGCCGATTTTTCAGTAATGCCGCGTTGCCCTAGTTACCTAATATAAATTTATTATCATCCGATTCGAGCTACACGTCCAACCCATCGTTCAGTATCCCCAACACCGCTCACGAATTTCCACACTTCGCAGCCACCAACATTCCTGATTATTTTGTAGCAATGACGCAAAAGCAAATGGTTTCCAATGCGTAGTGTAGCAGTTGGTACTACTTCGTATTTGGAAAGTATCTTGTTCGAACTTCAGCACCATTTACCAGATATAATTTATCGTGACTGGGACAATTAATAGTTTTATCTTCAGTCCCCATGCTTCAGGAGAGGGAGTTAAGAGCCCGAGGCAATTTCCATTCTAATTAATCTCTTTTTGATGTGAAATCAACCCTTTGAAGTCAAAGATCCTATAAATAATATTTAAGAAATCAGCCCGTACCGCGAAGAAAACACAACGCCTCACCGTTACAGAGATCGACTGGTTAACGCTGTTTAAGGAAATAATCGCTGTTTATAATGAGACACGCGCCACGTACATGATATTTACCCATTCAGTCCGTACCGCGAAGAAAACACAGCCCTCCACCATTACGTGGATCAACTGGTTAACGCTGTTTAAGGAAATAATCCTTGTTTATTCTGAGAATCGTACGAAAACCCGTCCATCCGAAGGCCAGTAACAATAAGGGCTGACGTAGTTGGCCAGAAGTGGATGATCGTGTGCGAACTAAGACGCATTGCCTCTGCCCGCACAAGAGGAAGTCGTTTAAGTACTGGAGGCGGCGGAAGCGATGTTTAAATTCCATTCTCTCAGGGACTCAGTTGGCAAACCTGGCGACATATGCGAAAACTGCAACCGAAGGGCACAATCTTAACAGTTTCCACGCTATAAACGAGATATCTCGTTTTAGACGAGCCTGCTCTTCAGGGTTTTGTCACCGTCCATTATTTCTGACTTTTAACAGCTGTAAATTATGCAACCACGCAAACACAAACCTCTCCTAATAGAATTTGTATTCTACACTCGTGTCAAGGTGATCGAACAGTGGGATATTACGTGGGCAGGGCAAGTACCACGCACGTTGGAGACGTAAAATTTTTGCGTTTTAGTCTAATTACCAGAAGCGAAGAGACCATTTGGAAGACTTAGGAGTCGATGGCAAGATAATATTAAAAAGGGCATAAAACGTCTTAAAGACGACCGGTTGGTTGTGAGCAAACAGTAATGAACCTTGTGGTTGCATAAAAGACAGGGAATTTCCCTGACCAAATGAGCGACTGCCAGCTTCTCAAGAAACACCGAGCTCCACGAACAGCACATTGCAGGTTGTATAGAAGCAAGCATTTTAATAATATGCAGCAATGTATTTTAAGCCATTAGTCCGTACGAACCTGACCAATCTCCGTCGCTCTGACGTCGTATTTCCCTGGCGAGACGTCGCTCCTCACGCAAACTGAGCTACATTAACTTTAAGCCGCCTTATATACGTGGCCACAGCTTTGTGTGTGTGTGTGTGTGTGTGGGGAGTAAAATCTTACCAACCGCGATTATGATTCCGTCTCCTCATCGGACGTCATCAAAATACGTCGTTAAATAATATACGACTCAGCTATATTCTTTTTTTTTGTTTCAACGATTTAATGGTAAACATTTTACTTCAGCAATATAAAAAGCATTCTTACGTTGGTATTACTGATGTAAGACGACTGGAGGGGCTAAAGTTATTTTCCACGCATTCTTAACCTCGGCACTAGAATGTTCTGAGTGATCAGGTTCATGCCCCGGCCGCTTTACTTCCAAGGAAAAAACCTCCTGGTCCCCATTGGATACGAGGGTGGGTGAACCCCTTTACTGACTGGGCTAAATAGTGTCATAAACTTTGATTTAGGTATGAAGATTTCCGTCTTCTGGGTTGTTGCGCTGTGTAGTCTGGTCGATGTTAACCAACGTTTCAGAGGTCATACTGCCTCCTGACCTCAGAAACGTTGGTTAACATCGACCAGACTACACAGCGTAACAACCCAGAAGACAGAAATCTTCATACTCTGATGACGGAGGCAGTATGACCTCAGAAACGTTCGTAAACATCGACCAGACTACACAGCGCAATAACCCAGAAGACAGAAATCTTCATCGCCCTGATGATGGAGGCAGTATGACCTCAGAAACGTTGGTTAACATCGACCAGACTACACAGCGCAATAACCCAGAAGGCAGAAATCTTCATACTCACCGCTGTGAGAACCTCAAGTCTTTGATTTAGGTAATTTATAAAAATATTAAATAAGTTTGTGCTACCGCAAATGTGCGTGGTGTTTGAAAACCATTTCGTCAAAAATATGATTTAAGACGTACTTAAGTCTCACTGTGGTCATTTTTTAATGCAAGGTGCTCAGAACCCCACAGACGGGGCCACATCGTGCAATATCCGCTTCAAAACACAGTTCATATGCGTGACTTTATCATAATTTCCCACGGGATTTTAGAGCCAATGTGTACGCCATTCTCCTGACGCAGTCGGATGGCTGGACACTATTCATAAACAACAATGTTATACGGTGATGCCATCTACCGATAACACAAATTCAACTGTATTAGCGTGACGTTTCCTGAACTGGTTCAAGTTTTCGGCTTCGAAAAAAAAAAATTAAAAAAAAATTAAAGTAACTTTGTTGTGTTCAAAAGCCACATTTTGTGAAATACGAAAAATGTCGCGATAATTTAAAACACACCAGTCTACAAGATACAGCAGTAATATGTTAATGCAAAAAAATAAATATTCACGTAAGGTCTGAAACTACTCGACAAGGGTGAGATGAAGTCAGAATGCCGGAACACAAGTGCGAAGTACGTCACTCCATGCCTATCGCATGGAGTGACACAAGAACACATAATGAATGACTATAATCCGTCAGGAAACGAGCAGTTGCGTGCCTGAGATGTTATCACTCGGTTAAGCATCGGTCATCAGATGAACACGAATAATGAATCTTCAGTCACACATATAAACCGAGTGTATCCGGCGTGTCGAGTCAGACTCACAGCGATGTTGGCTACACTCTGTGCATTTCTTCTAGCCTGGTCTGCATCAGCATCAGGGGTAAATATCTCTTACAAATAAGACTAAGTGCGTTGGTCTATTACCATCCAGCTTCCCTTACCATTAGCCTATTACGTCATCCAAATACAAGACACAATGTGATTTGCTTATTAAAAAATTCACAACAATTTTCAACTAATTTCAGACTCTTTATATTATCCAACTGAATGTTCGACAATGACGTATCGTAATTATTACTCTAGACTCTCTAAAGGAGCCGCCACGGTGGTCTAGTGGTTAGAACGCTGACCTTGTAATCCTGGGGTCTCGGGTTCGATTCCCGGCGGTGCCCGAATTTATAACTTGTGTTGGGCAAGGCCGTGGTCTAGGCAACACGGAGTTTTCCTCCGTGGCATCCCAACAATTACTCCATTCACACACAGAAGAAGGCAATGGCAAACCACTTCTGGATCATCTGCCAAGAACGTATATGAACAGGTCCCAGTCCGAGAAAAGGATGGAAGGATCCTGTTCATATGGACCTGTCGTCAGACAGAACACTACAAATAAAAACTCTCTAAAGGTTATGTCTCTCTCTTACAGTATGAATATAAAATACTGTATGTTGACGCAAAGGTAACGAAATCCTCTCCGGAATACTTCGGCAAGAATCTAGTCATCGAAGTTCTGAAATACAATGACACCATGCCCGTCCTAAATTGTTCGTTCACCTTGTTAAAGGCGTTCCCAGAAGACATGACAGTAAGTGATTGGAAACATAATTCATGATTTATACGCATCATATATTATCAAAGTCATCAAAACAAAGAGAAATGACGCACGGGAATGTAACTCCGATTTACCGTCTGTTAGATAAGAACGACATAGAAAAATATCTATACTTCTCCCGAGATTCAAACCAGTGTCACGTTTCTTAAACTTTCGATTCTTCTCAGTACAAACTCGTGACAATTCACGTGTGTGTGTGTGAAGAGTTTAAGATTCCTCAATTCCAGCTGGAAGTGCCTTAAAATGGTTAGATGTATGCGAATTTCCGAATTATTGTACAAACGATAGCATCAACCATTTGGTTCAGCCTTTGTTGGTAAGGACGAAGATATCACCTTCCCATAAACGTGAAACGTAGCTTCGTCGCTCAAACTTTGAGAGTTTCTCTTTCTATCGGCATGCCGCACGTTACCATCCTTTGCACCATTCAAGTCTGGCGATTTTTTGTAATGTCGCAGGAAATTATGAACACCCTGTACATTATTGACAAACATTTGTTTTTAGGTTGAAGTGGAGGGGCTTACAAAGCAAAACAACAATGTTTACAAGGCAGGGGCATTCAGAACCTCAAAAATGAAGTATTGTGATTTTCTTGTGGAAAAACCCCAGTACGCAGGCGTACTTACAGACTTTGGTAATATGGTGAAGAGGTGCCCCATGTCTGCTGTAAGTATACAAACGCCTAATTCTGAATGTCATGCAATCGTCAGAAAATCCCTTGTTTCTAATTACACAAACAACTTTTTCATACCACATTACATCCTGAGTTGGGGATGTAGTAAAGATAAAACGTAATATTTAACTTTTATTTTAATCCGTCTTATCACAATATTTAAAATTTCTTATAATTAACATAATAAAATATCATTGATGTTCCATATCGATTGATCGATTTACATTTCGGAACATTTACACAACATGTTTCAGTTTTTATAAAACCATCATCAGGTGTATTTGAGTTTTAAGTTCTTAGATATATTTTACACCTGATGATGGTTTTATAAAAAC